CGATCAAAATATAGCGGTAATAATGTACATGAATAAAAGGTAGTAACTAATACAAACATCATTCAACATACATCAACCAGGACCCACTGTCCAACACCAACACAACACACAAGACAATGCAAACATATGCAACTCAACACCATGAAATGCGGTACCAACTCACTGGTTCATTCAATCGAACCCAGATAGATCACATACACCCACCAATGGCAATGATCTATCCCCACTATGCTCCCCTTCGGAGTACGGGTAATCGAACCCGGATAGATTACATACACCCACCAATGGCAATGATCTATCCCTATCATTCTCCCCTTCGGAGTACGGGTGAATCACTTACGCTCCATCCGAGACATGATTCAACCCAGCAATGCATCATGATATGCACGACACCAATGCATAACAACAATCCAAGCATACAAGGTGCACACGATCCTCCTGATCACATTTATACATCGCACATATATATATTCTACACATCACCATATTCATATATAATATCATACACCAATTTAATTATTCTAATTAATCGAATAATAAGGAAATCACATTCCACACCATACATACACTCTTAACTGTCCAGCACCAATCATATATTCAATCATGACCAACAAGGATCCCACAACACAAGAGAGCATAACAGAACAGCACAAAAACACAAATATTGTCATGCTCGCTGGCTCACTCGCCTAGCGAAGCATCAGCGAATGCTCGCTACAGGCTCGCTCAACGAACTCCCTAGCGAAGGCAGACATTGGCTACTGGAAGCACTCGCTACCCAGTTCGCCTAGCGAATCCCTAGCAAAGGTTCACTACTAGCTCGCCTAGCGAAAGAGCTGGCGAACATCTGCGATTTCACAAAAACCCCACTGTGCAGAATCGGCAAAATGCTCCGAAATCAGCCGATTACACTCAAACCGGTTCCCACAACACCATACCAACATTCTACGACTCAACTACATTATCTATTCTAGATTCTACCCGATAAAACCTCAACTCTCCTGATTAAATCATTTCCGACTTAAAATGGCAAACTACTCGGAACCCCTAGATCATCCAAACAATTACTCTACCAACACATGCAACAAGTTCCACATGTTAACAACAATTCAGAATTCCAACAACACAACAAACATAATCATCAATCTACTATTTTGGTTGGGGAAATCCCCTTCTACCTAGAATTCATGCAACAACCAATTTCGACCCGTTCCTCTCCCCCCCCCCCCCCTCCCCTACCTCGATAACTCGATCAAACTGATGAAAATCCGGTAATCCTAGCTTTTCTTCTTCCTCCTTGAGTCTTCCTTTCAATCTTTGCTCCAATTTACTGTGTTCTTCCTCTTCTCCTCTTTGATCGTGTTCTCCTTCTTCTTTCAAAATTCTTCTTCCCAAACACTCCCTAATACCTCCTTTCTATTATTCTTATTCCTTTTATTAATAATAATAATAATAAAAATATTAACAATAATAATAATAGTAATATCAATAATATTACCATTATTTATTAAATTATTATCACTAATAATTATATTATTAATATTAAAGTTCAAAGTTATCAATTAATCTCCAAACTTAAGGGCACCCTCCACGCACTCAAACACACTCCACAAAACACACCGGAAAAAAAAAAGAAATGAAATGAAATAACACAAAAAATGACTAAATAATTAAAAATGGGTGTTACACATTGGGCTTATGCAGAAGGCTACATGACATGGTTGTATAGGGTGTCACAACTTATCATGACACCAGAAGCTCCTGAACGACCATCTAGGTCAGCTAATCAGGAGGTACTTAAGGCTAAATATGACCAGACTGAGGATGTGTGAGTGTGTTGTGGATATGGGGAGATTGGGTATAGAGATAAGACTTTTTTAGGAAGGCAGCCCACAGTTTGCCCTTGTAAAATGCATGATTGTCGAGACGCAGAATATCTTGCAGTACGGTCGGGGGTTAGTCATACCCAATAATTTTTGTTTGGTTGTATTATTTTGTATTTTTGAAAAAATTCATATATGTTCGGTACATTTTGATAATTGTGTGATTTTTTTCATAATTGTGTACTATGTTTGAATCAATTAATGTATGTGTTTTCCTTTTAATTCATGGCCTAAAATATGCTGACCTAAAACATGTTGGTCTCAAAAATATAAAAATTTAGTGAATAAAAATACCATAATTGACAAGGGGTATTTCGGATATGCATTTTCAGATACACGCAAATATTATACAAAGATGCATCTCCAGGTCATATTTTTGTTCGAAATTGGATGAATATCAGAAGACAAAAATTTGTGTGATTATGAGCGCATTCGAAGATGCATCTTCGAACGCATTAATGACAGTTTTGAATTTTCATAGGTGTGAGACGCATCCCTAAGAATGGAAAGAACATCTCCCTTTTCTTTTCTTTTTTTCAAAAAAGAGTTGGGTTTCACTATATTTCTTTTGGTTTTAAAAGGAGTTGGATAGAGGAAGTCGTACAATACTTTCTTTTATTGAACATGGATCTTGTTTAGTCTATTGACCTTTTCTTACTTCTTATATAAATTTGCCCTTCTCTACTCACCTGGCGGCAATTTCTTTGTGATGTTAGTGTTGTAGTGAATGGTGTTGTCTATAAATATTGGAGTTCAATCATATTTTGAAGATCCATTGTAGTATGGTTTATTTGCATGTGTTTAGCCTATAATGGATTTGTTGTCTGTGCTTATACAAGTGGTTAAACTTTGAGGTATAATTTCAATTTGGTGGTTAAGCTTTGTTGTTTTGGTGGTTTAGTTTATTTACAAGTAGTTAAACTTTGAGGTATAATTTTAAGTTTTTAACCAATGCATTCTGTTATTTATCATTGTAATTTTTTTTACTTTGATTTCTATTATTCATCTCAAGTTAAAAGTATTGTGTATAGCTTCCTATTTGTGGAAAGTTATTAGAAATATACTAGGTATGGATTAGTACTTAGTTGATTATTAATTGGTGAGTTTATATTAAAGTCTGACGTAACTTTTTTACTATTTTTTTGGTTCGTAATATTTCACTTTAAAATATGTTTGGTTGAGGATAATAAATAAAGGAGAAGGAAGGGGATGAAATATTTAATTATTTATCTTTGATTTAAATTTTAAGAAGAGAAGGGGAGGTAGATAGAGGGAATCAAAATCTCTTCTGAACTCTTTTTGTTTTCTCAGAATTTGGAGGATTTGTTTTTCCCAAATTTAAAGGGAGAGTTGTTTGATTTTAGTTATAATTATATTTACATATTTATTCTTATTATTTATTTAAATATAAATTTAACTTATAACAATGTTAACAAATTTATTTTAAATAAATTTAATTTTTTTTTAATATTTTTTTATATCTTCATTTTACTATCATTATATGTGTTTAATTTTTTGTTATTTTGTTTTTTATATTTTAATGTTAATATTTTAATCATCGTAATGTTTTCATTTATAATAATAGGGAGATCAAAACTGTAATTTAACCAATTATATATTATAATCGTTATGTTTTTATAAAATATTTCATAATAATCTCTGATTGAATATTTACATTTCGTCAATAAATTTGTATTTGAATTATAAATGGTAAATATCACAAATCTTATAATAAAAGTAGAAAGATAAAAAAGTAAATTAGTTTTAAAATACCTCCCCTTTCATATTTATATATAAAATGCATCTCTTTCCCTCCCCTTTCATATTTTAAACCAAATATACATGTAACTAAAATCTCTCCCCTCCCTTCCCCTTGATAAAAATTATTCTCCTCCCCTCGATTAAATCAAACTAAACCAAACAAACCATTGGTTCAATATAATAGATTTTTGAGATCTATCTATTTCTTCCATAGAGGCCATGTTTTCTAACATTTACTATGAAATAAATAGTATCATCCTATCAAATGAAATCGTAATCCACAACATGTTGGCATAAAACTCTTAAGTATCAAGATGATTTCACAATACACTTTACATCACCCACAATCATAATTTTTGCTAATTCAACAAAACTATCGTATTCTACTAAGAGAATAAAAAACTTCACTTAAAACTAATTCACTTCAAAAAAATTCCACATGTAAAAATAAAAGACTGAAATCATATAGTTCAACTTTCATGTTGGCATAAAAATCTTAATATCAAGATGATTTCACAATACACTTTACATCAATGTCAATTAGTACTAATGTATTAATCCGCTAGCAATAGCTCATACTTTTTCATGGCAGCGGTAATTCCATGAGAACAAACTTCCTAATTTTTAGAAAAATATCATCATCTTCTAGAATTTATGATGCTTATGACACTAAGTGAAATCCTCTATATGGAGATACTCAAAGCACAAGAAATTACTTTCAATTCACTCAATTTTTCAAGTTCAATAGAATCAACTATCATAGGAATTAGTATTCTAATTCAAGGAAAAGTGCGTATTATGTTAAACCGAGGTGGCTTAACAATAAACAAAGTCATAGTTAGAGAGATAAAAATTGGAAAAATATATACTAAAAATAGTAGTCCTTTTGGTAGGTGCTGTAATCCGATTATGGTTCAAACGAGAAAGATTAGATTCGGTCCATTTATCTTTCGTATCATACCATAAAATAGTGCAGCAAATGATAACATCCACCACTTTTTTGGCCCTCTCTCTTTTATGTCAAGATTTCCGTAATCTTTGACAATTTAAGCATTATTGATATGTCATAGGTATGTAATTTAATTTAATAGTACTACCAAACATTAAAGTAGGTGAGGTCCGCATAAATAACATTTCAATCTCTAAATAACAATTTTAAAATCCAGTAAATTATTTCATCGAGTGAATCAAGTATTGGCATGTAAACATGATGAAAAATACACTGAGCTTCTATAAATTAATCATTCTACAAATGATGAACCATTTGATAACAATGCAGGACGCATACCAACACGTACATTGGTTATCAAATTCGTCTCTTGCATTTCTTGAATATTTGAATTACTCCCTCCAAGCTTAAATCTTCACAGCATCATGTCCACTCTTGAATCAAGATAGATAGTAACAAAATTGAAAAAATCAGTCACCTTTTCAACCAATAATATCATTGAAAAAATTACTCCACAGATTCACCATTTCTAAAAGGGTACTTTGTCACCCATTTTCTTTTATTTAGTGCAACCCTAGAAACTATGATCATATTCTCATGGCATAGAGCAAGATGGACTACTTTTAAAAGTAAAAAACAAAACCATTTGATAGGCAGAGATGGACTAACCTGAACACATGGAGGAATTTCCATTCGACCAACAACAGCAGTGCTAGAAATGTGTGAGGGAGCAACTGAACTAACATTATGAACCACACCTCCACTAGTTTCATTTTGAAAGCCTGAAGTTCCCTCATTACGGACCGGAACGATAGGAGAATTAGACCTTTTTGATGCAAGTTCAAGGCGTTCAATCATACGTGAAACTCCAGCTATGCCTGCATTCATCTCACGCTGAACACCTTTACTCAGCTCTTTCACAGTCACATTACGAGCAAGTAACTTCTCTTTGAGTCCACGGGTACTTTTGGAAATTGATTCCTTATATCTGTTTCAAGATTTAAGATGTGTTAGCACCAATGATTATCTGAGTTTACAAGAATCCAAAAGCTAATAAGTTTACCTGGCTGAAGCGGCAGAAAGTTTGGATTTGATGGACTCGGGCAAGGAGAACACCTCGGAAGTATTTAGTTTCCTCCCATCCGGAGGTGGTGACGGACTGTAAAGAACTCTGAACATCAACCAGGAAAAAGTTAACATATGAAACATCAGTAGGTAAATGAGTAAATGGACATTTTGGTCCTTGAATATATCATGTATCATCGTTGTAGCCCCTGAATTAACCAAAACTACAAAGCATCCTCAAATGTATCTCTAGTTAGTCAATCTTGTCCTTGAATGTGTTCATTATTAGTTAATTTGATCCTTGAGTGTATCTTGCATTAGTCAATTTAGTTCATCATATTACTAATAGAAGATACACTTCAGGATGTTTTTTGTAATTTTGATACATTAAGGGGCTATTATAGTGATACCACACTACCTCACATATTTACGGACCAAAATGACTCACATATTTACAGACCAAAATGACGCTTTACTCGTGTGTTAGACTCAAGGAAAAAAACTTTGTCTAAATAACTGATATTAGTGCCACTGCTTTATAATTAAAAGCGTGAACACGGCCACTACCTGGGTCGGTAAGAGACATCAGTCTCGGGGCTAATGTTTCTTGCAACCTCGGGATGAAGGTCGGCAGTCGATGGTAGACCAGTGGTCAGAGAACTATTACTAGCTGGTGAAGTTGTACGAGTCGGTTGCACCCCAGATACCTCTGATGGACCTGCTCCAGACGATCCTTGTCTTCTCTGTCTCCGAACAAAACGAGCTCTATTTGCAGCAGCATATAGGTGCTGCATAATTTGCTCATCAAAATCAATGTCATCTGAGCGAGAAGCATCCTGAAAGTATATAATTTCCCTCTAATCATGGAATGATAGTATGATACATGTATCAAGGAAACTGATACCAATAAATATTAACACAAGAGAAGAGTTTTCATGACACTATTAATTCACTCACATGGTCACCATTAAAACGTTCAAAGGCGACAGGAAAATTAGTATGTGAAGATGAATTATCGTTTCTTGATCTTAAGCCTTTTTCAGCCTCCACGGCAACAAGAAGCTCTTGGCTACAAAAAAAAAAAAAAACAAGTCATTGATAAACGCTACTAATCATACCATAAAAAGCCTGTATTGAGAATCGAAAAGAAATACTAGAGACTGGCAAGGAGGGGGTTACTCGCAAGTAAAAAAATACCTGGCAGGGTCTTTCAAAGAAAGTGATTGCCAACATATTGGGCATTCTTTGCTTCTCTGTGACCTAAAGAAAAAATAATAATTGTGTTAGAAGATACCAATCCATGACCAACTTATCAAGCTATAAGGCTCTGGCTTACCATTCAAGTATGCAATGCAGGTGATATTCATGTTTGCAACAGGTAACCTGAAATTGAAAAAAGAAACATTATCATCAATACACTCTTCAACAGCTAGGCTTAGACATTAATATAAGGAAACTTGCAAATTTTCCCTTTGATAATCTACAAGTTGCAAGCAGTAACAAATTCACACAAAAGGCATAATCAAACACATAAAAATAGATAAACATATAGATCCTGCAATACACCAAGTGAGACATAGATATCCCAAATTGCTAATCTTCATAGAAACAAATTTCCCCAATATTTAGATCAGTGCAGACACTATTACTAAAAGAACAGAATCACATGAACAAATTCATCTCAAAATAAAATAAAACAAAAAACAAGTTCGATCACAGCAATAAGAAACACATCACAAAAGCCAAAGTGAAAAATGGAAAATACAGAAAATCATCAAAATCAAATCAATCAGTCAAATTGAGTTCTTCACAAAAAGATTGACAAAGCCATTACAATCACACATCAAATTTCAGTACATCACACAGCAAAAACAAAAGCTTTAACAAGTGATGGATGAATACATACAGTGGATGGGTCATGAACGCTGAAGGACTCTAAGCAAATACTACACGAATCCTCAGAAGAGTCGTCATCGAAGAGTGAAGAAGAAGACGGAGCTGAAATGTACGAGAAAGACGGAGGAGGAGGAGTGGAAGATGAAGAGAAAGAACTGAAATTTGCCATGGCTAGGTTAGGTGTGAAGTGGTGTGAAGAAGAAATGAACCCTAGAATGAAGTAAGAGTAGGAAAAAGGGAATGAAAGAAAAAGAGGAAAAAGAGGGAGAAAGAAAAGGGAGAATCCGATTCAGACGTTTTATGAGATCAAAACTATGACTTTTTTATTTTCTTGTATGATGAAAAAATGACGATTTTTGTCTTTATTATTGTTAATTAATTAATTAATTTTCAATTAGTCTGTTTTTGGATTTCCTTTTCCCTTTTTGTGTTTTGATCTTTTATGTTTAACGTTAATTCTTATGATTTTTTTCTGCTCTACCAATAGTATATGCTTGTATTTAGAGTGACGATGATTTTTCAACCAATATGATTATGAAATTCATTACTGAAAATCGTTTCATGATAATATAATTTTTTTTCTAAATAAATAAGAATAAAATTTTAATTGATATATACGGAGTGATAGTGTAAAATTATTTTATTTTGCTAATTAATTATTCTCATTTATTCTATCATATCAGACTGTAAATTTTAAATTAATTATATAACATGGCAGATTTATATATTTTTATTAGATGACAGTGGTTGAAATAAGTTTATTTTATATATATATATATATATATATATATATATATATATATAGAGAGAGAGAGAGAGAGAGAGAGAGAGAGAGAGAGAGAGAGAGAGAGAGAGAGAGAGAGAGAGAGAGAGAGAGAGAGAGAGAGAGAGAGAGAGAGAGAGAGAGAGAGAGAGAGAGAGAGAGAGAGAGAGAGAGAGAGAGAGAGAGAGAGAGAGAGAGAGAGAAAGGATCTGTTAATACAAAATGGTATAGAACACACTCAATTATAAATCAAATCTGTTAATAAATCAAGTGAAGCTATGGCTCTTAAATAACCATGGGTTGAAACAGAAAAAGCTAAAAATCAGGTCACGTCTACAACAATCTAAGGAACGTGAATACTTGCTTAAGAATAGGTCCAGCAAGGCAAAACAAAATCAAATACTAACATCATCATCCTATTAGCTAGGACACTTATTAATATAATTAAAGGCTAAATCAACAAGGACTGCTGACGTCATCACCAACAGTCTAACAATTGCTCCCCTAAACTGAACATGCCAGAAGCATTTCAGTTTACCTCCTCAGCTGACTTCACTCCAAGTGCTTCTCTGAATCTTTCAAACAGCTCCAACCTCATAGGCTTAGTCATAATGTCAGCTAACTGCTCACTTGTACCACAATGCTTCATATCAATCACTTCATCTTTTGTGAGATTCCTTAAGAAATGGAATCTCACATCAATGTGCTTACTCCTGCCGTGGAAAACTGGATTTTTTGCAAGTTTTATTGTAGAAGAGTTATCGCATAGAACCTTGACACTTTTACTTTGAGTACCTCCAATCTGCTTCAGTATCTGTTGCAACCAAACGCACTGACATGCACAAGAAGCGGCTGCCACGTACTCCACTTTGGTGGTTGAAAGTGTCATCATTGGCTGCTTCTTTGATGACCAAGCCACTGCTCCTCCACTTAGAATAAAAACATAACCTGAAGTACTTTTTCAATCATCCAAGTCCCCTGCATAGTCACTGTCTGTATAGGCTAGCATCTCATCTTCACATCCCTTTTTGTAAAATACACCAAGCTTAGTAGTAGCTCTAATGTATCTGAGAACTCTCTTGGCCGCCACCATATGAGATTCCATAAGATTGGCCATGAAGCAACTTATCAAACACACACTATAAGCCAAGTCAGGTCTTGTGATTGTCATGTACATCAAGCTTCCCACCATTTGCTTGAATAATGTTGCATCTGCCTTTTTTCCATCATCTTGTTTTGTCAGACTATTACTTCCTGAAACCATGGGATTCTTAACTCCATTGCAACTCTCCAACCCAAACCTTTTCAGAACTTCTTCAGCATACTTTCTTTGACCAATGTGAATGCCATTAGAGCTCTGTCGTATTTCAACTCCCAAGAAATACTTCATCTTACCAAGATCAGTCATCTCAAACTCCCTTTTCATAGACTCTTTGAACTCATTCACCATAATTGAATTATTGCTAGTAAAAATGAGATCATCAATATACAGACTTACAATTAGGATCTTATTCTTCTCTTCTCTTTTGATGAACAAGGTGTGCTCATAGCCGCTTTTCTCGAACCCCTCCTTAATAAAGTAGCCTTCAATTCTGTTAAACTACGCTCTTGGTGCCTGCTTCAGACCATAGAGTGCTTCTTTAGTTTGTAGACTTTCTTCTCTTCTCCATTAACCACATAACCTGGAGGTTGTGCAACGTAAACATCTTCATTCAGCTCACCATGAAGAAAGGTGCTTTTGACATCGAGTTGAAAGAGTATCCATCCATTTCTTGCTGCCAAGGCTATCACCATACGGATTGTGTCCCATCTAGAAACTGGAGCAAAAACTTCATTATAGTCTACTCCCTTCTCTTGCACATATCCCTTAGCTACAAGCCGAGCTTTGCACTTATCTATCTCACCATTCTCATTCAACTTGGTTTTATATACCCACTTCACTCTAATTACTTTGACTTCTTTTGGTGCATCAACAAGCTCCCAAGTTTCATTCTTTACAATGGCACTGATCTCCACATCCATTGCATGCCTCCATCTTTTTATTTTCACTGCTTTTTCATATTAAATAGGATCATCAGAGGCTATAAACGAAGCTAAATTGTGTACCTCTTCTTCTTCTTCTGAGAGTCCTTCTCCGCTTGTATAGTCTTGAAGATATGTTGGGGCTCGAGTGACTCTTCTTTCAGGCAGTGTAGGTGTTGTAACATCACTGGAGATGACACTGTGATCAGATTCTCCTTCTCCTTGTGAATTTTCACCTTTACTTTCTTCATCACTAGAGACATATGTGTCTTCATCAACTTCTCCCCAATCAAGACTGTCATTTTTTGCTTCTTCTTATGTCCTTCTCCAATCCCAGCTTTCCTCTTCCTCAAACATAATATCTCTACTAATTATCACCTTCTTTGTCATTGGATTGACTATTTTGTATCATTTGGACTCTTCATTATACCCTAACATCACACACTTTTGACTTCTAGCATCCAACTTCAACCTCTTTGCATGTGGTACATGCACATTTCCTACGCATCCAAACACTCGAAAATGATCAACATTGGGCTTGATTCCACTCAAGTATTCTTCTGGTGTCTTATTCTTTACGCAGAGGTTGGACTTCGGTTGAGGATGTGGCACGTCTACTTCACAGCTTCTGGACAGAACGAAGTAGGCATCTTCTTCTCTTCTAGAAAACATCGCACCATGTTAAGAATAATATGATTTTTGCGCTCGGCCACCCCGTTTTATTGAGGGGTGTAGGCTGTAGTCAATTGCCTTTTAATGCCTTCAAGTCTACAAAACTCTGTGAACTCCTTGGAGGTGAACTCCCCTCCTCTATCTGTTCTTAATCCACAAATAGATAGACCAGACTCCTTCTCCACAACATTTTTAAAGCTTTTGAATGTTGTGAAAGCTTCACTCTTGTCATTCAAAAAATAGACCCAAAGTTTTCGGCTAAAGTCATCAATAAAGGTTAACAAATTCCTTTTGTTGTCGTATAACTCTGGAGTGATCGGTCCGCAGATGTCTGAGTGTATAAGTTGCAGCTTCTGTGTTGCTCTCCACTTGATTTTCTTTGGAATGATCTCCTGATGTTGTTTCCCTTTCATGCAACTTGTACACACACTGGTTGGCACCTGAAACTTGTGAAGTCTTCGGACAAGTTCCTTTTGTTGTAACAAGTTCAGACTTGTGATGCTTAAGTGACCATATCTCTTATGCCACAGTTCACCAATATCATCACTTCTCACACTTAGACATGTAGATGATGTATGTAATACAACATTAGCCAATATTACAAACATCCTATTAGATGTCATATGTGTGTACATGATTAAACCCCTTCTGGGATGATAGACTCGACATTCTCCATTTTGTATCAAGATAGCCAAATCTTTATCTTGCAACTAGACAATACTCAATAAGTTTTTTTTCAACTCAGGAACATAATAAACTTATGATATTACCTGAGTTACACCTTCTACTTCAAGTCTGATGTTGCCCTTCCCTTTCACTGGCATTCTAAGATTGTTTCCAAGTTTTACTGAATGGCTGAATTGCTCATCTAGTTCTACAAATCATTGCTTGTTCCCTGTCATATGGTTAGAGCAACCAGAATCAAGAAACCATATTGCCTCTTTCTTCGAATTGTTGTTCTCAACATAGGACATCAATAGAAGTTCATCCTCCTCATTCAACTCTACATAATTGGCCCTTTTCTCCCAATCAGGACACTCATATTGGAAGTGCCCCAATTTATGACATTTGAAGCATTCAACTGTAGCCTTGTTGAAAGCATGTTTGCCTCGTCCTCTACCTCGCCCTCCTCTATTCATGCTTCTACCTCTTCCTCTGCCTGATCTCTCATCATAGGTCACTTTCAACACTTGTTCCTCTTCCTGGTGTGCCTGCATCCTTTGTTCATGAACAAGCAGACTTCCATGTAATTCATTAATGCTCAAGACACTTTTGACTCCTCTATTGAACAAACGACATAGTTAAATTTGGAGGTCAATGATCTAAGTATCTTACCAATCACTGTACTTTGCTCCATCACCTCACCATTTGTCTTTATTTTGTTGACCACGGTTAAAGTCCGCCCCAAGAAGCTGTCTACTTTCTTTCCTTCTTTCATGGCTAGCAACTCAAATTCCTTCCTTAACGCTTGAAGTTGTGCTCTTTTCACTTTCGTGGACCCTTGATACTTTTGTTTCATTGAGTCCCAAATCTCCTTTGATGTTCTCTTGTCGAGAATTGTTTCTAATATTTCTCTGTCAATAGCTTGAAACAAGAAATTTTTCACCTTCAAATCTTTGAGTTTAGCCTCCTCCACACTCTTTCTTTGTGTCTCACTTGCTGTTGCGTTTCCGATTGTCGGTGCTGGAATTCCTTCGTCCACCAAGTTCCAC